AGCGTTCTTGACGTTTGTCACGTCTGCTAATGAAGCTTTTAGCTGGGCAGTTCTCTCGGCAGAAGCATCTGACAAGACTTTAGCTGTTTTGAGATGTCATACGGATAGGATCATAAAAATATAAAAAAATTTGAAAGGTTTAGAGTTATTAGCTGATTATTTCTCATTTATCAGTTTCATACTAACGCATCGTATCTGCACAACAGTCACTGACTTCATATTCACTGCGTTATGGTGCGATTATCAATCTTTACGCCATCGCAAATGAACTGTGACGGTTTAAATACATGTATTATGTGGGGATTTTCATTTCACCTAGCCTTTTAGTCTTAGTTTCGTGTACCATTGCTTGGATGGCTTCCGTGCTTGTGCGCAGTGAATGTGGCAATCAATAGCTGAGGGAGTGTTTTTCTATTTCGGTGATTTCGAGAATTTAACACCGATACCCTGAGCGATCTTTGCGCATAGCAGCCGCATATTGTTGATAGTTTTTTTGGGTTAGCTACTGCTTTGTTGTGTTCCTCTTCTTGTTTCATACAGCAGGCGACATTACCCTTGTAAAAAGCGTATCACATCCAGGATTGAAGTAGGGCCTGTTCGAATACTACCCTTATATCAACAACAGAATTAATCTCTTACAGCTTGATTGATGTTCATTTTTTCAGGCCAGGAACGGGAAAATCGTGTTTGTTATTAGCACTTCTCGAGAAACCAGTAAACAGCTCAGGGGGATTGCGTCGGGCAATTTCTCAAAATTTGACAGAATTCGAAGTTGCAACGCTCATTGAGCGACTGATATTTTTTATTTATGAGAAGGAATCAGAACAAACTTTAGATAAGGTACCTGTCTATTTTTGGAGGGATTAATATTAAATAAGTTCTCTCAGCGTACTGTAAAGGTGTTTGACCGACAAAGACTATCGTTTGAGGATCCTTAAATGATCAGTAAATCTTCCACTACTTCTAAATCGTTCTTTTTTTTTTTCACATTCGAAGATTTTTTTAACAGAGTGTAGATGAAATTGGATGAGCAGTACATGTTGCCCACCTTGCTGTTAACTAATGTATGTATTATGTCGGGAAGTTGACTGCCATGGAAAAGGAAACAGCCAAGCGCGAGCGGCTTTCGAAGAAATGATGCGCAAACTTGGCAGTGCGAGCTGGAGACATGTGGCATGGATTAGATGAGCCTGGAATAGTCATGCTGTGCGTGTGTGTGCATCGCATTAGCATAAAAGTCGCACATTTCCCCGAATGATCTGGGAAATTTTGGTAGTTAAATATCGGCATTCAGTCGCTGACGAACCACTGTTCAAATTTTTTCTATTTTTCAGGTTCTGAATCTTTTGCGAGTATTGATTGATAGTCACTCACTGCGCTTTATTTGGGATGAGCAGTGCCATGAGAAGTTGCAGAAGGCAGCTTCTGTCGTTACCGATTTGGTAAGTGCATTCTTTAGCTGACAGCTTGCCGGGGTTTGAAGTTGAACACTGGCAGAGCCGTTCCCTTCATGTCGCTGATCCATTTCGGCGAGCAGTCCCCTGGCTGGCATCCGACCCGTTCGTTTCAGCTTAATTTGTAGGCAGCTTTTGGAAGAACCACCGAAATTCTTGCTTGCCAGCTGTTTACTGTAAGACGACGCTATAACACGGGCTACGCGCGCGTTTTCACCGTTTCACAGTGAGTGAA